AGCTCTCTCCAGCCTGACAGCTTGCCTGTTACACAATGCAACACTACTGGCCCAGGGATGGCACTGCGGGTGGTGGCCTGGGGCTGGGCCCTTCCACATCAATCACCAATTAAGAAAATACCCTACAGACATGCCTATAGGAGTCTGGTGCTACGGGCCGCAGGAATATATTATAAGAACTCAGCTGGTTATGGCAAAGCCACTACCTGAAGGGATCAGGGAATTCCTTCAGAGGAAGCCAAATTCCAAGGAGCATTTGGTGTTATTTGGCTTGTTATAAATCAGCTTTCTTCTGTTATGAAAATCATGTGTGCCTTCATAGTTTTCCCAGTTGATTTTTCCCTAAGAATTGCTAACAGTGCAGACTGATCACTCTTTGGACATATACATTCCAGGTATTTGGAGAACAGCCTCAGGAAAGGCTTCCTTCCTACCAGCCCATCTGTTTCTCCCCTTTCAGCACTGGAATCAGATATCTCCCTTAGCCACTTTCAAGGACTAACAGTAATAACAGTCCACATGCAAGTCTCCTGATTTAAGGTAAATTCCATAAGGAGACACCGCCTAGGTCAGGTGGACATTAAGTAATAGCTTTACACAATTTAGTTCAGACCCTCCTTTCTTACAGTTTACTAACTTTATAGACCCCCTAAAATAACTTATTATCTAACCACTTCTCAGAATGAGCACATAGATCCCCTTTTTGATATGCTAACGGGTCATCAGCACTCAGTTGACCTCCTCTTTCACCACTCCCATTTTGGATTGTAAAAGAAAGCCTGGTGGTCACTGCCTGAGGAAAATTCTTACCTGCCTTTATGACCCTGTAAGAATTCAAGCCTGGTGACCTTGCTCTGCCAGAAGATTGCTATTGCTTGGGTTTCTAACTCGATTCCTGAGAGACTTGGGAGGACCGCAGAGAACTTAGAGGCGAAGAACTGAGAGGGTTAAGGAGGATTTTGACCAGAGAGAACTTGTGGATGTGAGATGGAAGATAAGGAAGAGCCAGATGGGGAAGTACCAGCGGGGTAAGAACAAGATGAAAAGGACCTAGATGAGGCAGAATTAAGACGAGAGAATTAAGATAGAACTTAGGGTGAACTGTAAGTAAATATAGAGAGAAATCAGGCAAGAAAGGAATGAGGCATGAGAACAGAACTGAAGCTGGGTAGATAGGATTTTATCCTAGAGAAATAAAACCAAGTGGACTAAAGAGCTTGGTGTGCTGAGATTCTGTTTCCCGAAAATCGTCCTCGCTGTTTGTAGTTTTCTCTCCCGAGCCCCTGAGAAGTATAATATTAAGGCTGGTCCCTCTAATATTATACAAGAGTCTGGGGCTCCATTTTACCCTCAGCTCTTTTCTGGCCTTCCCAATTCCCTACTCTAGAAATATATATTTCTGACACAGACTATTTCCTCCTGATCTTACTCTGAGGTTCCTCTGGGTTCTGGTCATCTGTGGAGTGTGTCTCAATCTTCAGGGATTTCTGAACAGAACTGAGGAAAAGAAGGGGGAAGTAGGCTTGGGGCTACTTGAGTAACAGGAAGTAGATTTCCTTCTGATTTTCAAATGGGAAAGGATGTGGTTTTACTGCGTCAGTACAACTAGTAGTTGAGACAGAACCACTTGGAACTAAGGTACTGCCCATTTCCCTCAGGCCTAAACTCCTCACACTCCCAATTTCACCATAACGCTAGCTCCCTTCTCAACTTATTCTTCACTTTGGTGGTTGTTTTGTTATCCTTTGGGTTGGGAACTGAAGGAAAAACCTATTTATTTATAGCACTTGTGAAAACAGATGTATTATGTCCTAAATAATTCTCCGGTTTTTTTTTTTTTTACTGTACTCTAGGTTAGTACAGCCCAGAGATGCTAATTACTCTGGATTAACAGCTCAGTAGCCTCTGGCTAGGGATATAATTCCTTTTGTAGCCTGCTTCCCAGTAAGGGAAGCTCTGGATTCCATCCCCAGTACCATACAAACCCAGTGTGGTGACATGTTTATAATCCTAGCATACAAGCAGGATGACGTATTCATGGGCTGGGCGATAAGGCTCGTTGTGTGAAGTGCTTGCTATGGACGCATGAGGTCCTGACTTCAGATCTCCAGAACCCAATTAAAAGACAAGATAACAGAGCACACCCATGATGTCAGAGCTAGGGATGGCTGAGACAAGCAGAATTCCAGAGTGCACTGACTATCTGGTAAATGGAAAGTCTAGGAAGTCTATTGAGTTGGCAATCTTTGGATTCACTGAGAAACTCATTCTCAAAATAAGGCAGAGACAATAGAGGAAAGCACCCGACATTGACCTCTGGCATCCTACAGATGCACATACAGACTCAGACACAGACACAGACATTTACACACACACACACACACACACACACACACACACACACACACACACACAGAGAGAGAGAGAGAGAGAGAGAGAGAGAGAGAGAGAGAGAGAGAGAGAGAGAAGTTAAAGGTCGTCCTTTACTTGGAATGCATGAGATCTTGTCTCAAACAAGGGGGGGGGGGCTTTCACAGAGTTACTTACACATCTGTCTGACTTGGCTGCAAATCAAGGATTTCCTCAGATGTTTTTTCTTTGAAAATTTTATTTTTCCCATTTTTTATGAGTTCTTTGGATTTCACACAATGTATTTTGATCTTATTAATCTCCTCACACAACCCCTCCCAGATCTACTCCCCTTCCCTTCCCTACTTAGGTTTGTATCCTCTTATTTCTTTCTTTTTTTAAAATTTATTTAAGTTTATTTTTTGTGCATTGGTGTGGAGGTATCAGATCCCCAGAAACTGGAGTTACAGACAGTTGTGAGCTGGCATGTGGGTGTGGAAATTGAACCCGAGTCCTCTGGAAGACCAGCCAGTGCTCCTAACCACTGAGCCATCTCTCCAGCACCCTCTTATTTCTTTTAACATAACCCATCTAATGAAGTTTGTGCCACCCACATACTCTGTGATGAGTGGCCTTCCAGTGGAGCAGGGTTCATTTCCCAGAGAAGACACCCTTAAAAAAAAGACACTTCTTCCACGTTTCCAATTGTTAACAACTCCTCAGCTAGGCGTGGTATTTCATGCTCACCTCCTTTCCATTCCAGGATTTGGTTTGGCTTGAGTTTGCACAGGCACTGTTCACATTGTCATAACCCCTATGGATTTGTATGTGCAACGGTGCTGTTGTGCCCAGAAAACACATTTCCTTGTAGCCAGCTCTTACCTCTGGCTCTTACAATCTTTCTGTGCTATTTCATAATGATCCCTGGGAGGGATTGTGTGTGATATACATTTTCCATTTAGGGTTGAGCATTCATTAGTCTCTTGTTTTCTACACCTTAACCAACTGTGGATCTCTGTGTTCATTATTATCTCCAGGAAACTGAACCTTCTCTGATGAGAAGTGAGAGATGTACTAATCTATGTGTAGAATGACAGTCATTACTAGTTGGTTAGCACTATGTCCAGTTAGCAGAATAGCAGTAGAAGGTTCTCCACTAGGGACTATAACCTCTCTAGTCACAGGCTCATGGCTCCGATAATGGTGGCAGGTATGGGTTTTGATTTTTGGAGTGGGCCTTAAATCCAACAAGAAAGTGGTTGGTTAATCTCATGATGCTTATGCCAATATTGTCCCAATGGATATGTCTTGCCAGGATGGTTGTTATTTTAGCTCACAATGTGTTCACAAATGGGTAAGACTGGTGATTCCTTTTCTGGTAGCATGCATAGCAACTCCTAGCACTATATAACTATGCTATAGATCTCTACAGATCTGATAAAAAACAGCATGTCCCTGGCCTAAAAGCAAACTTATTGATCACTGAAATAGAATTGAGGATCTAGATATAAGTCCACACTCCCACAATAATAGTTGCAGTAGATAGCATCTTCGTCAAATGGTGCTGGCTAACCTTGACAGTTACTCTGTTCAAAATTCAGCTCCAAATGGATCAAGGACTGCAACATCAGACATGGTGCCCTGAATCTGATATAGGAAAAAGCAAGGAATACGCTTGAACTCATTGGCATAGGGAAAGACCTTAAATAGGACCTTAAAGAACAGGTGTTAAGATAAACAATTAAAAAATGGGACTCATTGACACTAAAAAACTTCCATACAGCAAAGAATACCATCACTCAAGTCCAGAAGCAGTCTACAGAATAGAAAAAAACTTTACCAGCTGGATATCTGACAGAGGGTTAGTATCTAAAATATACAAATAACTAAATAATAATAACAATAATAATGATAATAATAATAATAATAATAATAATAATAAAATGCTGCTGCTAGACATCAAGAAAACAAACAACCCAATTAAAAAACAGGCAATAGAGAAGACACAGATTTTTCAAAGGATGAATTACTAATGGTTGCAAAACATTTAAATAAATGTTAAAAATCCTTAGCCAGTAGGAAACTGCATATTAAAACCATTTTGAGATTTCATTTTACTATAATCAAAGTGGTCAAGATTAAAAGAACCCAAATGACTACAAATCCTGGCACGTGCGCAGGTGTGTGTGTGTGTTGGGGGTGGGGTGGGGATGGGTGGGGGATGGGAGGTGAGTGGTGGATGGTAGGTGGCATTTATTCACTGCTGCTGGGAGTAAAACCTGCAGTGCCATTCTGTGTTCATTCACTTTAGAGCAGGTAACTCAAATACCAGATACTATACAAACCGGACTAATTTGGCTGTAGCTACACTGAGAGCCGTAAGTGAAAACACTGTCTTATAAAGGCAAACTATATGGCAAATATTTCAACACAAGGGATCAGGCAATTGCATAACTCAAGGGACAGGAGTCTTTCCCCTTCCTTCCTCCCTCATTTTCTAAAGGAAACATACACATATTACCCACAGAAAGACACTTATGACAATTGTGAGTTTTCAGTCTGTGAGGAGATTAGAAGTGGACAGTATTAGTAACAGACTACCTGTGATTTGTAACTATCTCAGACTAACAAGAAAATGTATGGTCTTTTTGTCTTTTCTCTTTATTGACCAGCTCAGATTGAGGTACAAAAGTCCAAAAAGTCATCTCAAGTTTTTCAATTGAGTGCGTAGCTTGAAGGTCAGCAGGGAACGTCTATAGCACAGTGGAACTCAAAGCAGATGAAGCTTGAAGTTGGAGCCCTTTCTTCACATTGCCTGTACATTGTCTTCAGAAGGTAAAGAGGAGTTGTTGCCCAAATTGGTGCCTGTGTCACTGGTCTGGGCTGAGTCCTCGGTCAGGGCCCTCTCTAGACTGGCAGGCAGGGAGTGCATTAGTCTCTCTCTGAAGTCCTGGCCCATGAAGACGTAGAGCATTGGATTGAGGCAGCTGTTGAAGAAAGCCAAGGAACTTGTGACATTCACTGCAATTTGGAGGTTTGGAGTCATACCACTCAAGCGTTCACGGATTCTGATTGTGGATATGAGGGCCACTACCTGAAATGGGCACCAGCAGAGGAAAAAGGCAGCCACGACAAAAGAGAGGACCCGCAGGGGACGGCTAGATTTGATCAGGCCTTGCCTGTGGATTTTAGTGGCTATGAGCCCATAGCAAATGGCAACAATGGACATGGGTGTGCTGAACCCAATGATGAACCTGATGATTCCTCTGATGGTGAACATGGTGATGTTCACCCTCTGCTTCTCTACAGGATCTGTGGTCCATGGGGAGAAGTCAAAAGCGCAGCCTGTTTGCCCTGGCCTAGGTTTATCAGGGATTGTAGTGACACGAATGATAACTGGCAAGGTAAGTAGGAAAGCACACATCCAGGGTCCAATGATTACTTTCTTGGCCAGACTCACAGTTCTGTGGTTCTGAGCCCAGACTGGATGCAGGACACAAATACATCTGTCTAGTGCTATGAGGGCGATCAGGAAGACACTTCCAAACAGGTTGATGTCTATTATGGTAAATATGAACTTGCACATGAACCAACCAAATGGCCATTGTCCTCCCATGGCCATGGAGGTGATGAAAAATGGCAAAGTGGAGGTGAAGCAGAAGTCAGCAATGGCCAGGTTCAAGTAAGAGATGGTGGTGACTGTGCGTACCATGCGGAAGCCAGCCACCCAGATCACAAGCCCATTGCCCAGCACTCCAAGGACAAAGGTGACTGCAAGCATCAAATATGAGAAGACATTCAGAGCAATGTAGCCAGCAGATGCTGACTGGGTCCTTGCAGACACATTCATGAGGTTCCCTGTAGACATGTTCATGAGGAGAGAGATATTGGTGTCCATCTTATTCACTCCTAGAACATCAAGAGACAGGGATATTATTTATTTGTTTATTTATTTTAATTTTTCTTTTGTCCTTGAGACATGGTCTCATTACACATCCTTTTCCTAGCCTAGAATTTTCTCTATAGACAAAAGTGGCTGTAATATCACAAAAATATTCATACCCCTTTCTCTTGAGTGCTGGGTTTAAGGGTCTACGCCATCATGTCTGGCTTCATTTTCCCATTTTTCATGAGTGCATGTTTTCTTTACATATATGAGTTCATGCCTGAGTGTGAGTGCTTCTGCACATAGGTGCAATATGTGAAGCCCTGAGGTTGGTGTCAGGCATCATTCTCTATCACTCTTCCATCTTATTCCTCCAGACAGGGTATCTCAGTCAAATCCAGCACTCACAGCAATAATTAGCCTTGTTGGTCAGATTACTCTGGGGATTGGCTCTCTCTACCTTCTGAGACTGGAATTATGGGTGAACCACTGTGCCCAACTGACATTTACATGGGTTTCTGGGGACACAAACTCAGGCCTTCACACTTTCACCTAAGCACCTTAACCACTGAGTGGTCTCTTCAGGACCTGTTTTTGAAAATACCAAAAAAAGACAGTTTTCCTTGCTTTTATTGCTGTGCCCAATCTATTTCTCCCCCTAGCCTCTCACACCCAAGCTAGAGCAAGCTCCCCATTGCCTGACATGCTCACCCATGTTGTCAACCTCTGATCAGGTAGGGGAAGGTTGTGCCTCTGTTTCCACAATTGCTAATATGCACTCTGCCTGCAAAGCAACTCCTTAACTCCTAGAACCTTAACTGGCAAGTGGAAAAATACAAGACCCTAAACTGGGCAAACAGTATGTAAATAAAATTTGTGTTCAGCATTTCAGTACAAGAACAAATGAATAGGATGGGTCAACATTCCAGCAGGCAGACCTCACTGGACTGTTAAAAAGAGAAGGAAAGGACATGGTGGCAGAGGGATGTGTGCTGGGTGATGCTATGGTGGCAAGAGTGTGGGGGTGATTGTATATGCAGCTGTTGAAAATTAAATAAAAGTTATGGTTAAAAACTTGTGTTCAAACAAAAGCTGTGCACAAATTTTATGGCAGCATTTCTCACTAGAGCTAGAATATAAAGACAACCTATCCTAGATAATTTTCCAACAGCAATTTGGAAAGACAAGGGTTTATTGAAGTTAATATGTTATACTCCATAATGAAGGGAAGTTGAGGTAGGAACTGGGAGGCAGGATGGAAGAGTGCTGAGCTTTGGCCAGATCTTGTTGGCTGCTCAGTATGCTTTCTTTTACAACACAGGACCCCCTGCCCAAGGGTGGCATCACACACATTAAGCTGAGCCCTCCTACATCAATTTTAAGGTTTATTTATTTATTATGTATAAGTGTTCTGCTTGCATGTATGTCTGCGTGCCAGAAGAGGGCATCAGATCTCATTATAGATGGGTGTGAGCCACCATGTGGATGCTGAGAATTGAACTCAGGACCTCGGGAAGAACAGCCAGTGCTCTGAACCTCTGAGCCATCTCTCCAGCCCTCCTACATCAATTGCTAATCTAGAAAATGCCACACAGACTGGTCTCCAGGCCAATCTGATGAGGCGATTTCTCAGCAGGAAGAAGGGGACCATGACAGGAGGGTGGCCGAGTTTGAGGCCTGCGTTCCACATACAATGAGACTCTCAAAACTCAAAGCAAAATAGTGAAGAACTAATCCATGGCATGACAGATACACTTGAAAGCTATCCATGATAGAAACCAGACCCAAAGTGTCATATGATGCATTGTCCAACTTATAACAAATATCCAAAATAGGTAAGTTTACAGGAAACAGCATATCTGTGGATACAGAGGCCTGATGGAGGAGGAGAGAAGAATTATTGCTCAAGGGGTATGGAATTTGTTTTCTTTTGAGTGATGCAATAATTCTAGAATTAGATAGGGGTATGGTTGCAAAATATTTTAAATGCACTTAATGACATTTAATTTTCGAGTGGTATAATGTAAGCTGGGTGTGGTGGAGGCGTAACCTTGTCACCTCAGCCCTTGGGAGACAGGGCAGAAAGATCTTGACTCTGTGGTTGGCATGGGCTCCATAGTAACTTTAAGACCAGGCTGAAAGGCATGGCAAAACCTTGTCTCAGGAAACAAACATGGGACTGAGGAAATTGCTCAGTCAGTAAAGTGCTTGCCACAGAAACACGAGGACTCAAGTTTGGATGCCCAGCCTACATACAGAACTGGTAAGATGGCATGTGCCTATATAAAAATCTCAGTGCTGGAGAAGAAGAAAGAGGAGTCAAACTAAGTGTGTGACCCCCAGGTCCAGTGAGAGATATCTTGTCTCAAAAACTAAGGTTGGTGGCTTTTTCATGCAAGCAACAACACCAACAAGGAGAAAGTATCAGGTCGACTTTTTATTATGCGTATTTTACCACACACAAAAAAATATGGTGTGTGGACATTAGGGAATTGTTAGAGGATAGCTTCAGTGACCCAGAGTCAGTCATGAACCTATCACTCTGCATAAGCACTTCATTACACATCTACCTTCTTTTTTTCTATAGGCTCAATACAGGCCCCTCTCTTCTGCTCAGGGAGGACATTTACATGAGTAACGGCTCCGGGTGACATCTCTGAAATTGTCTTTTACATTATTTCTTTTATATTTGATATTATAGTATAATTCATCATTCCTCCCTTCCCTTTCCTCCCTCCAAACCATCTGTCCCATATGCTCCCTCATCCCCTCCCTGTCCCCTTCCAAATGCAGTCTCTTTTTTCATTAATTGTTGTTACACACACACACACACACACACACACACACACACACACACACACAGTCCTAAATACAATCCGCTTAGTCCATATGTTGTGACTTGTTTTTTATGTTTTCAAGGCAAATGATTTAGTATTGAATAACCAATTGAAATTATCTTTTAAAAATCAAATTTTAAATTATATATAATCATGTGTATATGTGTGTATTCCACTGAGCTGTCTCTCCAGCCTCTTCTTTGAGATTATCTCAGTGGAAGGAAAGAATGTTCTCTGGCTATGAGATCTCCTCAAGACGCATGAGGGTGGGGAAGGCAAGAGAGAAATGAGGTTCCAATGTGTGACAGGTATGAGATTTCACTGGATTAAGTATGCAAAGTATTCCTTATGTCAAAAATGGTTTTCCTGAATATTAACTGTAGACTTCCTTAAATGGAGGAGAGAGGCAAAATGAGTTAATAGCCTTGAATGTGAATAAGTGATTGACAAGTAGCATGTACTGAATAATGACAGGTGTGTGTGTGTGTGTGTGTGTGTGTGTGTGTGTGTGTGTGTGTGTGTGTATGTACATGTGAACAGAAGTCAGAGGTCAGTGTTAGATGTCTTCCTTGATTACTTTTCACCTAGTGTTTTTGAGACAAATCTCTCACTAAACTAGAACTACACCGGTTGGCCATGAGCTCCACATGTCTGCCCTCTCTTCTCCCCCTCCCAGTGCTGAAGGTGAGGACCCACACTGCTGCACCTGGCTTTTGTGTGGGTGCTGGTGATCTGAATACAGGTCCTTACTGGCCTAACTGATGGAGCCATCTCTTCAGGCAGAAGTTTTACTCTTTTTATAATTGACACTTGTGAAAATGAGGAACCATACCTGAAACATTAAATCAACTTCTTTTTTTTTTTTTTTTTTTTTTTGTTTTTTTCGAGACAGGGTTTCTCTGTGTAGCTTTGCGCCTTTCCTGGGACTCACTTGGTAGCCCAGGCTGGCCTCGAACTCACAGAGATCCGCCTGCCTCTGCCTCCCGAGTGCTGGGATTAAAGGCGTGCGCCACCACCGCCCGGCTTAAATCAACTTCTTATAGTCACTCAGTTTCTCAGTCTTAAATTTCAGCAAAGGTCTTTTTCTGACCCTGCTCTGCCACACTACCTTTGTTGGAAGTGGGCCTGACTCACACAGTATTAACGCCAATATGAGATGGGAAAGAGCAACAGTGACCATCACATTTGAAAGTCTGTGAGGGAAGCAGCTTGTAATGCCTCATTAAAAATGTTTGCAGTCCTTTATGTAATTGTTGAACAAATAGTGGATTAAAATTAATTCCTTCCTATCACTTCCCTTCCCCTCTCCCCTCCATTTCCCCTCTTCCTTCTCTTCCTCCTATTCCATATAAGTTCTTTTATATCCCTGATTGACGTGGAACTTTCTGTGCAGAACAGGCTGGCCTTGAACTTATAACAGTCCTCCTGCTTCTGCTTCCCAAATGGTGGGATTACGATGTGTGCTGTTGAGCCCAGATAGCTGTGATTTTCCATCTATTCTCCTCCTCTGTTTTGTTTTTACCTTTAATTTTTTTTTTAAATTTTATGTGCCAATCATAGTTCCCCTCCCTCCCTTTCTCCCGATCCCTCCCCCACACCTCTCCCCCACCACACCCCCATCCACTCCTAAGAGAAGGTAAGGCCTCTCCCATGGGAAGTCAACAAAGCCTGGCTTATCAAGTTGAGGCAGGACCAAGGCCCTTCCCCCTGTATCAAGGTTGAGCAAGGGATCCCTCCACAGGGAATTGCCTCAAAAAAGGCAGTTCATGCACCCGGGATAAATCCTAGTTCCACTGCCAGGGGCCCTACAAACTGCCCAAGCCACACAACTGTCATCCACATTCAGACGGCCTAGTTCAGTCCCGTGTAGGTTCTCCTGCTGTCAGCACAGAGTCTGTGAGCTTCGAATAGTTGTCTCTGTGGGTTTCCCCATCATGATCTTGATCCCCCTTGCTCATCTAATTCCCTCTCCCTCTCTTCCACTGGATCCCAGGGCTTGGCTGTGGATCTCCGCATCTGCTTCCATCAGTTATTGGATGAAGGTTCCATGATGACAATTAGGGTAGTCACCAATCTGATGACAGGAGAAGGCTTTTGAGATAAAGTCTCATGAATCCCAAACTTGCCAAGGATAGACTTAAACTTCTGGTCCTCCTTCCTCTACCTCCCAAATTCTGGGATTTCAGGTATTCACAACACTCAGATTACATTGTGCTGGGTTTTGAATCCAGGGCTTTTATGCTAGACACACACCCTTCCTGCTGAGCTACAACCCTAGCCCTGTGATTCTCTTTATTTCTTTAAAGCACCCACAGGACAGCCTAAAATCAGACATGTAGCTCACATTTTATTGAATCTCAGTGCTTTATAGTTTCAGAAATGTTGGGGGAATTCCTGCAGAGTTGCAGCTGGTTTGATTCTGGGAGTGTTAACACCTAGTCTTAATCTGCCTTTTGTGATTGCTACCCTTTGTTTTCTGGTACCTTCTATGTGAATCTTGTCTGAGAGTTTTCTAAAAGTGCACAGCCAATGCACACTTGGTTGAGGGACAACCTGGAAAACCTCAGGTATTCCTTAACTGAGAATTTGCATTTGGCATTGTCCCTTTGGGAAGCTTAGATAAGAGGTTTTGAGATACAGAAATTAACTTGCTAAAGATGTAAATTGGAGAACAATAGAAAAGCCCTTTGCTAAACTGCAGGAGTCAGTCCTGAGAGGCTGGTCCCCTGCAGCTGGAAAGGCTAATTTCATCCTTAAGGTGCTTCTGTGTCATGATTGCACAGACCCTCCTGAACCCATACCTAATATACAACACAGAAACAATTTGGAACTGTCTTCTCTTTCCCCACATTCCACCAACTACCAACCACCAAGCTATTCTGAGGGCTGTTTATTCTCAAGAATCAGTGAGGCAATGATTAAAAGGTTTACAAAACGAACAAGGAAGATTTTGCAGTGACAGGTCAGAACATGCAAGACCAGGAGAACAATGAGATAAGGCCCCACCTGTGGTTGGAGGAAGAAGAACGTGGTCTGGATTGAATAGGAATGTTGTTAGCCACCTTTGGGGGAAGCCTTTAAACCTGCCAATCACTGTACCACATCACCAGCTTCTTCAGACCCTGATAAAGTTGAACTTGACTAAATGGGAAAACAACCAAAACTAGCAGTTCCAGAGGAGGTAGAGGTGAATTTTGCAACAGAGTCCACGAAGCATGTGAGCCTGTCTGCTTGCAGGCTCATCACTGCCCTCAACCTTGCCCTTTTCCTTGCATTTCCTATGACTTATAAGAACAAATTTCTTCCTTCTTTTTTTTCTTTTGTTTAATGCTTTGAGCCCTTTCTCCATCCACCCAAACACAGCCCATGCCTTTCTTCATGCTTCACACAGCCACTGCCCTCCACACTCCTGAAGCACTTTCTCTGGCCTCACATCTATGACCGGAAGACAAGTATCCCAGCCTAAGACTTTCCCTCTGCTCATCCCTCAAATCCTTCACAACCTAACTCTTTCCAGGAGTGCTATATCTCACTAGTGCACATTCAACACTTTTTCTTGATTCCTCCCAATGAATGAGCATATCAATATGCTCCAGAACACTGCATCTTTAATACAAGTTATTATCCAGTTTCATACCACCCTTTAGTTCTCAACTAAAAAGCCTTTGATTTTCTTTTGTGGCAAAACATCCTGAGTGACATGTATTGCTGTACTCACCTCTTTATCTTATATTTCTCCACAATTGAACTTTTTCTTTCTTTCTTTCTTTCTTTCTTTCTTTCTTTCTTTCTTTCTTTCTTTCTTTCTTTCTTTCTTTCTTTCTTTCTTTCTTTCT